AAATATACGGCACGCAGGTATTTTCTACAGCGGATATTTTAAATCTGGTACTCGTTGCCGGCATTCAAGCAATGGCAAAGCCTTTTATTGTTTGTTTTGCCATTGCCTCATCTTCTTCTAGTTCCAAAAACTCTAACTATTCTTCGCTTATCTTAAAAAGGAGTATTTCGGATGTTGTTAATTCATCCTCAATAATGTTACATAAAAAATGATAAAATATTCTTTTTGTTTAGATCATGAATAAAAAGACATAGTTTAGTTTCAAAACTTAAAATAATTTGCGATAAATCAAAAACATTTTTATTCTCTCCTTTTAGAGACAAATTCAAGTATTGCAAATGTTCCATTATCTTGGTAAAGAACATTAGGCAGGGATGATAAATGGGTTTTTTAATTTCGTACTAAATGGCAAAAAAAAAATACTAAATCAGCCGAAAAAGTACCAACATATAAAATACCATATATGTTTTAAAATTAGGTAAATTTCTGTATTGGTACCTACGTTAAAAATTCCAGTAAAACATGTCCAGCAAAAAAATTTCCGTGAAATGTCATCTGTTATCTCACAAGAGGAAAATATCCAGTATACATAGTTTGCAGCAACTTTCAAGCTATCCGAACAGTTGATCGAATTTTCGTTTAGATTCAAAAGTGTAAACAGAAAAAACTTTCCATCAAGGCATCCGGATCACTGTAGCGTTTCCAAGCAGAGGTAGCCGCAATACAGGAGGCTTCGGATTGGTTGCTCTGTAGAGTAACCAATTTTGTGTACGTGAATATCTATTTCGACAGCCAAGCAGCCCTTGGATCCTTGCTGGTTCGTTCGAAAACGATGAGGACTTGTTGGACTTCCTTATCGATCGCATCGGATAACTACGCCATTGAGCTCATTTGCTTTCAAGGTCACGGGGTACTGTACCGCCGATGAGCTGGCAATACAGGGAACCCTTGAGAAATTGCTCAAGGTCTGGTTGCTCCCCTGACCTCATGCGGCCTACTTCTGGACAGTTGGGCGTTTAGTGAGCTCAGCGTGCGCTGGGCAAAGACCTTGGAATGCAAGGTGGCTAAGTCCTTCTGGCCACGTGTAGACCAGGGGCGGTTCAGGGTGCTCGTGCGACCAAGCAGGTTACACTTCTCACTTCTTGTGAGAGTTCTAACCGGGCATTGCATTATAGATAAGCATGCAGTAAGGCTGAATATACTGCAACAGCTGCATGGTGAATGGTGGGATGGAATCATCACAACACCTGCTGCTATGGAGCCCTGCCTTTGTGATGCTAAGGTTCAAGCACCTCGGCTCGCATTTCTTCCACACTCCCGATGAGACGCTTGAGAAGCTTCGTGGTGAGCACGGAGCGTTTTTCCTACAAGAAGCCATAGATGTCATCGTACTGTTCTTTCCCTCTCACCCTTTACAACTTTCCCATGTCTTCTTCCTCCTCTTCCCACATAACAGCATACGTATGTTTTGTGGAGTTGTACTCTAAGTTTCCAATACAAATAAATATATCAAGATAATCAACAAAAGCATATAAGTATGTTTATTAAGTGCAAGTAACACAAAAACTAAAAAAAAAAAACAGTTACATTTAACGCAGTCGAAGTTTCACAAAAAACACTTTATAACTGTTTGTTGATTTTAGCAAGTCTTTCGTTTTTAAGAAGCACCACGTATTTGCTTGTATGAGGTAGGAAAAGATGATTATATTTTCATCCATAAAAAATCAAATTTCCAAGTATACACAATGGTATTGCGAGAGAATTTGGCGCAGCTCCGTATTTTGATAAAACAAACGAGACCGAAAACGCATTCCGGGCTTAGTTTAGTTCTACACGAGAAACAAAGAGCATTCCCGTAACAGAACCAAACGGATACTAAAGTATTGAGAGGTATTTGAACGGGAACAAAATGAGAACAAAAGGTTCAGGAACGTTTCCGTAAATAACAAAACCCGAACACAACTCTCCGAAATACCTTGAAATAGAACAAAATGAAAAGAAACAAAATGAAAGAAAAAAGAACAAAATTAAAACAGAACACTCAAGAACGTTGTCAAGAAGAACATAATGAGGACGCAAGTATTGAGAACGTTTTCAAGGAGGATCAAATAAGAACAAAATTCTACGCTACGTATAGCTAGAGAATAAAACTAGAATAAAAGTTTTTAGAACTTAACGTTAAGAATGAGGTGGCGTCTGGGTGTTGGGATGAAAAACATTATAGTGAGAACTATTCGGAAAGCTGGATCATTCTAACTTTCGTTTGTCACCAGAGTGAACTGTTCATTTATGGGAAATTTTTTTTGTTCAAGAAAAGTTCGTGTCATAAGTCTTTCGTTTCTTTCTGTTCTTTTTCATATCATAGTATCATAAGCGCAATAAAATCATAATAGCTTTTTGCTATTCCCAGTTGGAAATAAGGCCGTATCAAAATTATGGTTTTATTTCCAATCGATAAGGGAAATAAAAAAGCCATTGTGGCCTTATTGCGCATGGTTCTCCACGTGTCAAAATCAGCTGTATGCTTGTTTTCCGTCAGGTGTTGCGTGCGCTAATGCTGTGGTACTCTTGTTGTTTTGGCAAACAGAACGAGAAGAAGGATGACATTAGAAGGGTTGCATATACAACATAAAATAACTGCAGCAATGAACTTCAAAGAATACTGTGCATATGCGACGGTAATTAAACCCAATGTCTGAGATTTGACGATGTAGAAGGTGCAGTGTTGTTTAACGTGTCATAATGTTTTTAAATATGTTTAATTTATGTTGTGATAATTTTATTGTTTAATATTTATGTAAGTGTAATAAGTGTAAAAGTATTTTGTATTGTTTTATTTGTTCCTTGCAATAATTATTTGTTGTTATTATGTTTTTCGTATTTATTAATATGTGACCTGGTCTACGAAAAGGGAGCTTACGTGCGAAAACTAGTTTTCTGTGAAAAAGCTGTTAAAAGTAAGCAACTCGTTTCGTCAGTTTCTCATTATCTCGTTAATTGTTCTCCACGCCGGACGTCCAGTAAGTTTTGTTGTTGGTCAAGTAAGTGTTGTTGTTGGTCGGAATATTATTATAGTTCATCGTGTAAGTTGCTAGTGTGGAACATTTAAAAAAGTAACACTGAAGAAGTGACGTTTACTGTTTCTGTTGATTATCGTCTTCGCATTTCGCATGAAATTAAACATGAGTGTTGATGAGGAGTTCAGTGCCGTATACGGACAATATTTCCATAAAAAGGATGATGAAAACGATGATGAGAGAGCGATGATGATGAAGACGAAGTATGTGTATTTCAGGCAGAAGATGATACCGAACAAACTTTTGTTAAGATGGACCTGTATGTTGTTGATGTAAAGGAGGAGGAGCTGGTAACAAAATACATAAACTACTCAGCATTATTATTTTTGGCCCATAATACGTTTTTCTAGTGTATATCATGTCTTTATAGCTTATAATTCAAAGTATTTTGTTCATTACCAATAAATTATATTTTGTCGTATTTTTACTCTTCTTTCTCTACATTTTTAGTACACTTCTAAGCAAGTTAGGATTTTCTGCTTTTCACCACGTGAAAAAGCATCTCATCTTCCATCCGAATCAAACAAAAAGTGAAAATTGATTTTTTGACACCTAAGCCCCCTTTCCGTAGACCAGGTCACATATACAGATTCCGTGAAGAAGCCGCGTGTATGCGTCGAAACGCGTAGTATCAGAAGTAAACACTTGTTTTATTTAATATAACCGGCCAAAAAACTCCAAATCCAAAATCATTGACTTTTCAACCTTGGCGCAAGAAAAACAATTAGAAAAAATATCGTTTTCCTATTAAATTTGAGCAAACGCGTGTATACACGGCGTATGAGTAACAAAATTTCCTGCTTATATTTCATAAAGAAAAAATCGTCGTTTAATTTAGCAATCGTTTACGTGAACGTGATGGGCGTAGTATTTCCCACTGAAATTATTTAAAATTTTTCTTTCAAATAATAACAAAGATATGGATAAAGATGATGCTAAAGATAAATGTAGAGATTAAGACAAATAAAAGAATATAGACAAAGATAGAGATAGAGAAAGGGATAGAGATAAAGAGGACAAATATTAACATAAAACTAAATAATAAGGAATGATTTGTTGCTTACCTCATTTCATCTAACCACATCTCTCCTCACCTCACCGCAAAAAAAAATTAAAATTTATTATCAACACTTTAAAAACGTTAGACGGCCAAAGGAAGAAAACCTCACCTCATCTCATCTCATCTCATCTCATCTCATATCTCATATCTCATATCTCATATTTCATATCTCATATCTCATATCTCATATCTCATATCTCATATCTCATAACTCATCTCATCTCATCTCATCTCATCTCATCTCATCTCAACTCAACTCAACCTAAAATATCGCTTAAAAAAAGATGCATATTTTACAACGAAATTTGTTAACAATATAAAGCATAAAGCTAATTTCGCGTCATTTGCTCAGAAACTCTATTTTTTAGTTATGTGACAGTCGTTTAGTAAATAAGCGATTTGTAATTCTAGTTTGCATTAATATTTCCAAAAACATTTGCGCCTCTCGTCATTTTTTTGCCGATGAATCCGCTCCTGTGCTAAAATTGAGTGTAAATGATGTTCGTCATTTTTATTTTCCATGCAACTGCGCACACACGAATGCAATGCAGCGCCATTAGCACTCACCAATACACAAGTATCCAACTAAGCGGACATACATACATCCATGCATATGTAGAGTCTTCGAGAACAGGTCGGCGGCACAAATGAATAACCAAACAGAAGCAACACAAATACATTGCCAACAGTAAGGCAACAACAAAGCGCTAGACAACACCAACAATATAAAAATATTGTAATTTTTTAGCCATTGCAATACATACATACATGCATAAATATGTATACGATGCTTAGGCATGGCTGAGTCGATCACTTTTGGATGCTGTGGATCGTCCCGCAAAATGTGGTAGTAGTTGAAACGAGCGTGGCGGTTAACGAACAACACAACGCGTTGGGGGCAAACATTGGGTTGAGTATTCGAGCGACAGTACTCGTACAAGCAGTGGCAGAACGTGTCGCGCCGCTTCGCATCAGATCGCATCAATTATACCGATCGTACCGTAGTATATCGCATCGCAGAGTAACGCATCGAATCGAATCAGATTTGAGCTCAACGGTGGCGTATTCATAGTAGTACTTACGACAGATTGTATGTATACATGACTTCAAATATTGAGCGATTGAAAAAGAACTTAAGCTAAAGAAAAGAACATAAATTGCGGGTGTTAAAATTTGCCTTTGTATTTTGCCACCTTACATATGCACTTATTTAAATTGTATGTATGTATTCAGACGTGTTTAAGTACATATGTACATATGTTCGTGTGTAAATTTTTTATTTTTTTTTTTCTTTTGTTTAATAACTTCATAGAAGCTTTGGTTGATTGATGGCTGATCATTGAGTGATTGCGGATGGCTTTTTTCAATAAACGTGCGCGCATCAATTACACGGATAAGAAGTCATAGCCGAAAGTTCATTTGATTTTTGACATTTCACGCGATCAATAGAAAATGAAATTTGTCTTTCTTTGTGACAGAACTGAGAGCTGAATTTTTCATGTGCTAGAAGCCTGAATGGAAATCGTTGTTGTTTCAGATTAGGCCGATTGTCTAAAAAAAAAGGTTGTTTACATGCACATATGTATGTAAGTTCGTGGGCGATCTCTCCACATTTGGATACTAACTACCATACATCAAATGAACTGACCAATATGTTGGATATATGCAAAGTGAAGTGATCGCGAATTTAATATTTTTTTGATTTTACCGTATCAACTCCAAATAAATGCCAAGAACTGTGCTGTGGTCTGCGCTTTCAGAGCATTTACGGGAGCAGTTAATAGTGCAAAATACATAGATAAACAAAATTGATTCGATTCTCTGTTGTGCGCTGCCAATTAGGTGTGAAGTGCAAGCCATTCTACTAACAAAGAAGAAAAGGGGAAAAGTGTTAATAAAAATTCGGACTGCTGCATAACAAAATTTTCATACAATGTGCGCTTCAAATGTACTTCGAAATTGCTAAAAAAGATTATTATTAAAAGAAAATAAAAAAAACATAGATATTTAGCATATATGGACATATGTATGTATGTATATATGTAAGTGAATTTATGTAGACAGTGCAAGTTTTCTCACAGTGACAATTACTCATAATTATAGCCACAATTAACACAGTTTAACACTTTACGCGTCTGGAAATTCCCCAAAGACAGAATAAAAAACGGCGAAAAAGCGGTTAAAAATAATTTTTAACTAGCGGCATTACACATGGATCCAGGTAGGAAATAACTACATTCAGCGTTAACTGTTTAAAAAATGAATTATGTATGTACATACATACATACATACGTACACCACGTATAGCATTAGCAAAAGTCTTCTTCTTCATCTTATTTATCAATTGAATTCATTCGCTTTAGTTTAATTCTATTTTGTGAATATACATTCACACATATTTATATGTATGTATCTGCGTGTCCCCTAGATGCTAATTGCTGATTTTAATATTCCTTGGTTCGTTATATTGAATTGTGTGTGTGTATTTAGATACGTATAACTTTTTTTTCAAAACCAAAATTTAGCCGTCGGCTTCTCCAATTTGATCATACATATATGTATAGAGAGTTTTTTATATCTACTGTTGTATTGTTGTTGTCGCCATATTTTCTCCATATACAGTCACCTACAGAAGTATTCGTAATTTAGTTTTTTTTTACAATATTCAAATGTTTTCCATCATAAATCTTTTTCGTTAATTTTCATTTAAAATATAGATGTATATTTTATTACAAAAACCAAATAAATCGTTCTTCCAAACTTTGTACAAAATTCATAAAAATGAATCAAACTTAAAAAAATGTTCATCAAAATTTCAAACTTTTTATTCAGAATTTTTAGAAAAATTTTCGGTATGCAGTTTTGTAGCCCGTTCAATTTTAATATAATAAAGTTCAAGCACCTAAAAATTACCGCTGAATTTTTTTATTTTTTTTTTTGTCAGGGGTGTTGCGCATTTTCTTCCATATAAAAATAGATTTTGTTCATGCCTTATATGGAAATAAATGCGCAACACCCTTGACAAAAAAGAATTCTAAAAATTTCCGGAATCAGCTGGAGTGACAGCCTTGGACAGTTATACATATGTACGTAGATCTGGGACGTTCCGGTTACGTAGACCTGACTGTAGTGGGAATGTCCATTGCTTTCGTGGGCGCCCTTGCTTTCGTTATTCACCTGTGATTGCTGAATCAAAGGATTTTTTACCGGATTTTTGTACATCGTCAAAGATCGTCGTTCCATATTTTTTTGCACACTTCCCCTAAGCGAACAATTCATCTTTCTGCATCATATAAAACTGTGATGCTCCAAACAGCGCCCGAATGGAGTAAAAGTCCTCTGTAATTATCACTGCTATAAAAAGATCAAATGAAACCAAGAGTACAACACTACTGAGCTGGGTATCGGACCGCCTAGTAGAATACCATAGTATTCTATGGACCGGAACTCTTTTGTTGGCCAGCCAAAGCACACACATAAGAAAGCTCATAAAAAGCTTGGTAAGCAAAAAATTCAAAATGCCCTGGATTGCAGAGGCAGGCTTAGCGGTTTATCTGTCTCTTTGAAGAGGCTTAAAAAGACTCCTTAATTTAGGCGGAGCAGATTCAGCCAAGAACTTGAATCGCTTTTGTAAGCTGCACGAAGAAGCGCCAGAACATATTCTCTCTGAATGTGTGGCTCTAGCCAGACGCAGACTGTCTCACCATGATATCGTCACACTTAAATTTAGAATAAAAATCTAAGCTAAAGGCCACGCATCTTACTGAGGTGGTAGCAGAAGAAGTTGTATCCAGTGAAATACCCAGTTAGAGTTCTTTGCCTACTTTCCCATTAGGTTCGAAATTGGGGTTCCATATCAGCAATGGAGACTAGAGATGGGCACGGGAGAAAATTTTAAATCCCGATCCTGGCCATCCCGAAAATAATTTTTTAAGTCCCAAACCCGCCCATCTCGACGTTTTCAGAATTGTACCGCAGGTCCCATGGGTCCCGAAATCTATCAATAAGTTTAATCCACATTCCCTTCAAATTAATTTTAAATAATAAAAAATATGGCTTCCTCCGATTATTATTTTTTGCTTTGCTGTTCTTTTTCGAGTCAATAAAACTTAAAGAAGTGCTTATTTCATAAAACGTACATAAGGAAGACTTTCTGAATTTGCGGAGGTTGCGGGTTTCATCGGGAGTGCCGGGAATTGATTTTCGTTCCGTCCCGCCCACAAAATATTTAAAGGCCTTCCCTATACCGCCCATCCCGGCCATTTCGAAATCAGTACCGTGGGTCCCGCGGGTCCCGATATCCCGCACCCATCTCCAATGGCGACCTTAATAATAAGATGACTCGGCCAAAATCGTTTAGGCAATTACAGCGTCAATCAAGAAAAAGCCTGGTTGACATTAATCATCGGTTAACATCGTTATCGACGTTTTCGACTCCATTCATATAACACGGTGTCGGTAACGTCGATAACGATGTTTAATCGATGATTAGTGGCAACCAGGCTTTGTAATGCAGATTACCACATCGTTCGCATAGCCTTGCTTATTAAAACAGTTTAATATCCAGTGTCAGAACTGTTCCAGCGAAGAGGCTAATCGGACAAAAAAATAAAGCAAAAAGAGCTTAATAAAAATTTGAGTTAGGGCTAAAGCAACTAAGGGCCGGTTACTCAATGTCTGGTTAACACTAATCTGCGGTTAAACATCGTTATCGACGTCTACGACTCCATGCATACAACAGGGAGTCGGCAACGTCGATAACTATGTTTAACCGAGGATTAGCGTTAACCAGACATTGAGTAACCGGCCCTTGGTCGTTATTATAACTTCAAAGCAGTGTCAGTGTTAAATTTATAAATTTTTGTGCGGAATAAATAAATATTTTTCGCAACATACACAATTCGGAAAGCTTAAGAGACATTCACCAAAGAGAAAGTACGCTCACTCTTTAGCCGGTGAAACTAACTCGTGGGTGCTTTTCCTGGCAATCTCATTCGCAATGCGTTTCCGCGCAATGTCAACATGGCATGGTACCCGATTGAGCCTAACTGGGAAATTCAGAGAATACAATGTACATATGAGCAAATCTCAGAGTTGTTAAATTTTTCGACAATAAACGTGTTTTTCGTCGAAAATGGAGGCACACTTATCTTTGAAATGCATTAACTTCAGTTTTGAAAAAAAAAGAACAAGATTCCAACGCGAAATTGTATGTATTTAAGTAAATAAAAATTTGAAAAAAGTAAAAATAATCACTCGTGCTCATATAGCCGTAGTTGCGTATGTAACGTATACGCCCCGTCGCACCACACCTTAACTTATGCTGGATTTTCACTAGGCATTAAATGGCAAAAATTACAAATGACAAAGTTGAGCATTAAATAAAAATCGTGTCAGTAATAAAGAACGTAACATTTGCGGAGTCTTTTGACATTTTGGGGAGTAGACCCCAAATGTTTAACAATTTTTTTTAACTTAAATTAAGGCCACTTAAAGGTAATAATAGAAGTAGGTGTAGTATAGATTAAGGTAGAAATTATTGAGGCAGAGATTTACATATACGTGGTTCACAATGTCTAAGTATAGTACGCAGCCGTCGGTATACGAAGCCGTATTATTTGCAGTCCTCAAGGACTGCCGCAGTTTACCAAATGCGGACAAGTCATTTGACAGCCTTCGAACTAAGTACTTCTAAAGTAGGCAATGCTCTGTCTAAGCTAAATTAAGTTCGTAAATTTAAGCCATCTGCGTTACTTTAAATACTCGTGAAACACAAATCACACGGGAATACCTGCTGATTTGGTTACTGAGGACTCAGGTACCCCAAGAATGATAGAATACAAGATTGCGCCGATCAGAGAGGATTTTTGAGAATAACTTTTGTGTGACGTCACACTGGTGCAATTGCGAGAGAGAAATGCCAAAACGTGAGGAAGAATGGAAGAAGAAGAAAAAATGTTGCAAGGAAAACGTAAACAAGTTGCACCAGTGTGACGTCATGCAAACAACGATTCTGTCAAATTCGTTAAGAGAGGAATAGCGGTCCGAGATCGGCGCAACCTTTGTATTCTCTCAATCGTGCAGGTACCCATATTTCTTAGCCCACAACCAGTTTTAGTACTCAGTAATGACTGAGTGTCTTCAAGGGGCTGCTTCGTTAAGCAAGTAGGATAGCAGACAACTTTTGAAATTCCTAAGTGGTCACTTCGCGAGGCTCAAACCGCTGGATGCGATTGGAATACTTGACAACCTTATTTGCCCTTCCCGTCTTGAAGAAGATGAAACTGCAGGTCCCTTTGTGCTCGATCCCATCTCCAAAAGGCGATTTATGGGCGATTCCAGCAAACAGTCTGCCGCGTAAAAAAATTAAAAGTCCTTAATTAAAAAGAGTTCAAATAAAAAAGTCTAAGTTCGGGTGGAGCCGAACATTAAATACCCGGCGCAAGTATTAAATATAGTTTTTCACTTTCTAACAATTTCGATAGTATGTTCAGTTATACTTAATGAGATAAACTTATATGGTTCGATGTGGGCGGTATCACACCACCCACTTTTCAAAATTCTATATTAATATTACTTATTTCAAGGCATTGTTGTTAGTATCAATTTCAATGGGTAAATTAGCGTCCTTAAACTTCGAACTATCGAAGTTTTAAGAATTTTCAAAATTTACCGTTATATGAAAAAGTCCAATTTCAATAATTTTTAACGCTTTGCTTTTATGTGATAAGCGAAATAATCGTACCAAGTTTGGTACAAATTTTTTGAACGGTTACCGAGATATACATACCTGGTCATAAGTGGGCGGTGCCACGCCCATTTTCCAAAATTTTATCATAAACGTGTTTTTTGCTAAAGAATTATTGCAAACATCAATTTTGTATAAATTAGCTTCTGTATTTACTAATTTATCGAAGATTTCGTATTTCTCTAAATTACCGTTATATGGGATGAGGGAGGGCGTGGTTAATGTCCGATTTTAAAAAATTTCAGCCATTTGCTATGTTGTACCAAGTCTAACAACTGTGGCAAGTTTGGCGGAAATTAATGCAGCGGTTGTAAGTGGGCGTGGCTACGCCCATTTTCCAAAAATTTATAATATTATTATTTTACGTCTAAAAATCATTGTAAATGTAATTTTTCAGTGAATAAGCTTCAGTCCTTACTAAAATATCGCTGTTCTCGTATTTCTGGAAACTACCGTTACCTTGGGTAAAGGGG